AAAAAAAAAAAAAAAAAAAAGAAGAGAAGGTAACATTAATGCTGGCTGATACTAACATCGGGAAATGTTCAAAACAAGTTGTTTAGACTTTGGAAGTGGAAAATGTCACACTATTTTTTTTGGATATTTTTGTATGCATTTTTATCTTACAGATTTAAAGAATCAGACATATATAAATTAGTTGTAAAATGATTAATAGTTAATTGGAATAAGAAAATGTACCTCATTTAAATGATTGGTGGCTTCTCCAAATGACTCACAATGCTGAGATAAAGGATGTGCTAACGAAAGACTTCTTCATAGACCGCGTGTAAAAATGAAAACCATAATGCAACAAAGTTAAAAGGCAAAAAGGGAAAACAAAAAGTAAATAAATAAACAAAGCTTTTAAGAGAAGAAAGCATATAGGAATTACATCAAAAAATTATACCTGTTGGCATAAAACTTGTGATTCTTTAATTTGTGGGTTTTGAGAAGATAAAAAAATGCCGATCGCTGAATATGCAGTGGAATTTACCAAAATAAGGATGCAATCTGTAAAAGAGGGTACATAGCAGCATGAGATGGTAAGTGGACACCAAAATACCCACTCAAAAAAGGGGGTGATATTATTGTACGTATTTTTTTTAGACTGAATGCCTTACTCCCGAAGTTATGGATAGGGATGGATTTATTTTGAAGAAAAAATGGAAACATATCCACCTATACTTTTTTAATTGAGACAAATTATTTTAAATTTAATGTGTAAAATCAAATGATATCAATAATTTATTAACAATAAATTTATGAGTATCACAATAAATTAATGAACTGATGATATCATCTGATATTATATATTAAATTGAGAACAATTTATTTAAATAAAAAACTTTGTAAGTAAATTTATCTTTATTTTTTGTGTGGGTGGATGCATCTTTATTGCTTATTTCTTAATTTTAGAGTGAATTTGGATATTCCACCGATTTTTTATTATTACATATTCAAAAAATGAGACTTAAATTGGTCATAAAATAAATAATTATTAAGTGAGAGAAGAAAATTTACCTCAATTAAATATCTGGTGCTTTCTCCAAATGACCCAGAATGATGAGAGAAAGGATGTGCTAATAAAAAACTACTTCTTTCTTGAAGGTTTGAGAATAGAAAATGCAGATCTTACCAAAACGAGGTAATCTGCAAAAAATAATACAATTTGAGATGATAAGTGGCACGTACCAAACTGTACCAAAAATCAGACCGCTGAAAAGCATGCTTGGAAACGCAAAAGAGGACCGAACCATTCGTGAAGCCAATCGAACGTGAAGCTCATCAATTGCATAAGAAAATATGGGAATGGAAAGAAGAAGGCAGTAAAAGAAACCAAGGAGGGAAGGAAGGCAGTGAAAGGAAACAAGTGAGAAAATATGACAGTGGGGAACAGAGATATTTAGGTTTGAACCTTTCCAAGTGGAGAAGGAAGGCAGTGAAAGGAAACGAGTAGGAAAATAAGTTCGAATCTTCCAAGTGCAGAAGGCAGTGAAAGGAAACAAGCGGGAAAATATGTTCGTGGGAAGAGCTTTTTAGGTTTCACTCTTTCAAGTGGAGAAGGCAGCGAAAGGAAACACGTAGGAAAATAGGTTTGAATCTTCCTAGTGAAGGAAGGCAATGAAAGGAACAAGTGGGAAAACATGTCAGTGGGGACCAGCTTTTTACATATTCATGCCTTGTTTGAAAGGAATTCTAGCATCAAGATTTTCTAATGAGAAAGTGATTCCGAAACTACTGTTATTAAAGTTATAAATAGTAACTTCTATAATATATTATATAATGAAATTTTATTAGAGTTAGTTAATTTTTTTATATTTAATAAGAAGTCAACGGATGTGATTATGGTCGTACATACAATTACTATGGGCATACAAAATTTTTAAATATTTTTTTAAAAAATATTAATTTTATTTGATTTAATTATTAAAAACAGATAAAAGTAATAATTATTAATTGATAATTCATAAAACAATTAATATTTATTAGTTAAGAAATTAAAATTAATATATAAGATAATATTTTCATAAACCATAACTAACTATTTAAAAACAAAGGTTAAAACTTAAAATCCTTTTTGTCCTTTTACTTTAATAAAATCTTTTTTTAGTCCATATACTTAAAAAAGTTTCTTTGTGGTCTCTAAAATTTAAAATTCGACCCTTTTTTAATCTGCCGATTACTTTTTTGCATAAATGGTACATTAGATAACAAAAATTTCAAAATAGAGGGATTAAAAAAAAAATTTTTTAAGTAGAGGAACCAAAAAACAATTTTTTTATTCCTTCTTAATCCCTCTATTTTAAAATTTATATTATCTAATGTGCCACATATATAAAAAGTAACGGAGAGGCTAAATTTAAACTTTAAAGATAAAAAAAGGGACTTATTTAAGTAAAGAAACTAAAAAAGAAATTTGTTAAAGTAAAGGGATCAAAATGAAATTTGTGCAGTGCTAACATTTTTGTACATCATGGTAACCGTACTCAATATTAAATTGAGAAAGTTGTTAAGTTAATCCCAAGTTAAGAGTTAAGAAAACATTATTGAAAATCAATTGATATTAATAAAGTATTAAAAAGCTTTTTTTTTTAAAAAAAATCATCTTTTTCGAGTCAATAAAAACATACATTTTAATAATACTTTAGATTAAAATTAATAGTGAATATTACATTTAAATTGTTATGGATTGTTGATCATGAAGCGGTGAATGGATGGGCAACTCTCATTATTAAAGAACCTCCTCCCTATTTAATAATTTAAATTTTAGAATTTAACACAGCTTAAATAAAGAATTTTTATGGTCTTTAACATTTTCTTATTTGACAATAAAAAAATAATATAGAAGTTAATGTGTATTAATCCCAATTTTAAAAAATAATTGAAGTCTCAATCTATATCTGAAAACTTAAATTTCATTTTATTAAATGTTAATATTTAGATTTAAAAACTTATTATATTAAAATAATATAATAAGTTTTTAAATCTAAATATTAACATTTAATAAGATAATTTTTTTAAATTTTGAATTGAGTTTAATCAAATAAAATGACATAGTTTAAAATTGGGACTTCAACTATTTTTAGAAGTTGAAACTGATACACTTTTTCATTATACAATATAAACCATATCAAATCATATAATTTAAATTATTAAATAAAAGATGAATTCTTTAATATTAAAAGTTGTTTTGTTCATTTGTCTACTAAGAAAATGAATCCATTTATATATAAATTTTACATATTATATTTACATAAAAATCTCAATTATTTATTTTTTTTATTTTTAATAATTAAAATTTATCACTACTTTTTAAGTAAAAAATAATAATTTTTAATAAATATAAATAAATATTAACTATTAAATTAAAAATAAATAAATAATCAAAATTTTATATAAATATAATATATAAAATTTATACCTAAATCAATCCGTACTTGTGAATAATTTTTGTTTTGCATTTCTAACTTATTGGACTTGGCAGTAATTCGCCACCTCTTTTCTGTATTGGAAGAACTGGGCCCGCAATTGGCCTTACTGAATTATTACTTCCGCTTTTGCTTTTTTGTTTCATTATTTCCAAAAGATAAAATTGCCTTTTGCTTTTGAGATCCAAAATACTAGTATTACCGTATGTAATCAAGTTTGGCTTCCTCTAAATTTGATTAATTTGATTTGATTTTTGTGTACTTAAATTATTAAACTATTTAATTATCAAACCTAGACAGTAAGAGTCGACAACCCAATTATTTAATTTGTATCAAGGCATCCTTCATCCTGCAATTTGTCACCTGCACAAACAAATTAATCTGGATTGCTTTGTTTATTATCTTAATCTCTAAAACGTAGCAGTGAATTTGATTAGAAAATCAATCGCAGGCAAAATTTGTGGTGCTCATATTGAATTTGATTGATATTTGTAGTTTTTTTTTCTTAAACAAATAGTTATGCTTTTTAAAAATATTAGTTTATAAATTGATTTTAATTTATTAAATAATAATAATTAATTATTCTATTAATTATTAGTTATCCTTAATTATTAAATCAAATAAAATTAATATTTTTTTTATCTAATTTCATAGTTTTAACAAAAGAAATTGTTATAATCGCACTACCATGGAAGGGATAATTCTTGTTCTGAATAAAATTTTTTTAATCATATTTAATCTTATATACAGAGGATTTCTTTATGGTAGCAATTGCTTGGAGTTAATTTGCCCTTTTTCAATTCTTTTGATTTTTGTTGATTGTCTTCATGCCTAAATTCACCTTTCAACTATAACAATAGAGACAGATCTATAATAATGAAAAATAGTAGTAAATTATTTCATTAAATAATTGACTTAGAATAATAATCTAAAATTTAACTGTGTTACATCACTAATTACCTCATTCTTCTGGATATATATAACTTAACTCTTCTAAGGGAAGGAGTAAATAGTTGGCCAACATCAAGCAAGGGAATTATGATAAAGAGGGATCTTCCTTAAGTTCTTGCAACCCAACAATCCTAATCTCTTCAAGGGAGTCACATAATAGTTTTATCATCATAGTATTATTTACACTATAAATTATAAATTTATTTAATAATATCAAATATTATATTATTTAAATGAATAATTATAATTAAATCACATCAAATTTAATTTTTTTTAAACATGATTATATTATTAAAAAAAAAATTTACCTCAAACTTGAAACCTATATAAGAAGTTATATGCGAAGAGCTACCACTTGCACTATCCAGAGCTATCCGTCAGATTTAATGTTATTGGAATGTGAAGCTTAATGCAATAACTTGGTCCGCATTTTTCCTCGCCGCATATTATTGGACTCCGCAATAATTCACCACCTCTTTTCTGTATTCGAAGAAGGACTGGGCCCGCACTCGGCCCCACTGCATTTATAGTAATAACTGGTTCCGCAATTGGCCTTACCGAATTATTACTTCTGCTTTTGCTTTTATGTTTCATTTTTACCAAAAGATAAAATTGCCTTTTGTTTTTGGGATCGAAAATTCTAGTATTATTTAGCTTCATATAAATTTGATTGATGTTTACTAAGTCGTTAAATTATTTAATTATCAAACCTTCACAGTAAGAGTCATCATCCCAATTATTTAATTTGTATTAATCAGAGTTTCGCTTTTATTATTCTATATGATTCCCAACACTTAAGGTCTGCACTCTAATTTTTCCATAGATCCAACACCCAGCGAGGGGGTAATTCTCTTTTCAAACACAGTTCTTTTTTTGTAGCAACTGCTTGAAGTTGGTCTTCTTTTTCTTAATTTCTTTCGTTTTCGTTGATTGTCTTCTTGTAGTGTGTAGAATGTACAAATCTCTCTCAATTATAGCAGGAGAGATAGATCCAATTTA